ATATGGAAGGAACGGAATGGTCGGCTTTTTGAAGATAAGTTGATTTTGTTAGATTCTTTTTGTGTGCATAGTAAGCTTCTAGCTTCTTGGTGGGCTTTACTACACAAGAAAGTTTATTGTAACTACAATCTTCTTTTGCTTACAGCGTTGATTGTATAGAGCTTGGGGAGGGTTAGCTCTACCCTCTGCCTTTTGTTTGTATCCCCTTTTAGGGGTCTTCTTGATTTGAATACACTTATTTTGTTTCTTATCAAAAAAAAAAAACCAGTTATTTATACTTCTTTTGGATATAGTCATAAGCACCAAGGATATGAATGTCTAACTCCTGCTGGTTGAATCTATATTCCAGGGTTTGTAAATTCTTGTTTTGCTTTCAGCATAAATTTTGTGCATTCACAACCAACTATCATTGACATGTCACAAATAATTGTTTTCCTATTTTTACTGTTCCTTCACGTTAACCTAATTCAGGTCCTCTTCTTCTACCAGCCTGAGTATTTGTCCATCTGATCCTGTCTGTTAGTTCTTTATCTACCAGTAGTAATGCTTCCAACACTAGCAATGAGCCTGAACCAGTTACTTGTGTTCCAGCAGAGGTTGAGAAATCCCAACAGCAAGTTTTTTCTGATCCTGTCTGTTAGTTCTTTATCTACCAGTAGTAATGCTTCCAACACTGGCAATGAGCCTGAACCAGTTACTTGTGTTCCAGCAGAGGTTGAGAAATCCCAACAGCAATTTTTTTCACCAAATTTGAGACTCATTCCACGGCTACATGGAGAAAGTCTGGTTAAGAAGAAAGTCTGTTCCAGTGGAGGTTAAAGAAGTCTTGGAAGGTAGCTATTCTTTGGCTATTATGGTTTCTTTGGCAAATAACAAAGAATTTTGGTTCTTAAACATCTATGGCCCCACTAATTACAATGAAAGAAGGCATTGATGGAATGGAATTCGATCTACACATTCTTATTGTGGCATACCCTGGTGCATTGGTGGTGACTTCAATGCCATTAGATGGTCTGATGAAAGTTCTACAGGAGGAAGAAGACAGAAGGTCGTTCCTATTCGTTGGGACAGAACGCTATTGAGGATCAAGACAGAAAAAAGAAGGCTAACAAGGACCAAAACCACATCTAAGCATTTGTGTGGGTTTTCACATACCTTTTTAGTTTGTTCCTTCTGTATTTACTCCAAATTAGGGTGTGTATCCGTGAACATTTCTTTTTTTTTTTTTTTAAGAAACAGAGAATCAACTTTCATTTCATAAAAGTAGTGAAATATACAAAAGGGCTAACTGAGGTCACAAAAAAATCCTTTCCAATTAGAACGTATCCCTAAGGGAGTAATTACAAAAAGGTTTTTCTAACTTGCACCAATTGGATGCTGTGTACAAAATAAGATCAAATATAAAGTAGTGTTGTTTCTTTTCATTACCAATGAGTTCATTTCTTATTAAAAAAATTTGGCAAAGATATGCAACAAAACATAATTATAAAACTATACATATAGTGAGGAAGCACCAAGTAGAGGTAAACAGTCTAACTAGATTCCAAGATCATCACGACAAGAATCTGCCAAAAATCCTTTTGCTTCTTTTAGACCACAATTTCCAAAGAAGAGTCATCACTGCATTATTCTTGTAATATTTCCATTCAATAATTAAAAAGGAAAAACTTAAAGATGGTGAGCACGAGAAGATTTTGTGGGTGAAGTTCTTGATTTATACCTAAAAGATTATTCATCATAAACTTAAATAAAATTATTTTAATATAAACTGAGCATTCAACAGATATAAAACTGATAATGAAAAACAAACATAAGGCAAAAGAGACGGCATATACCTGCAGTGCTAGTATCCTATCTTCTACTGTATCTTTTATCGTAATCCTTGACACTGTCACAGGACGAGTCTGTCCAATTCTATGTGCTCGATCTACAGCCTGGTCCTCAGTAGTCGGATTCCACCAAAGATCTAATAGGATAACATGACATGCTGCAACCATGTTTAAACCTAGATTTCCCGCCTTCAATGACATCAACATAACAGTGATCTGTAAAAAGAATTCACTATTAAAATATTGAATTCAACATCCACGCTAAAACATAATATTGCTAATTATTTCAATACATATATCATTTCAAATCATGTAAACTAACTGTAACAAACAAACTTCCATAAAATATAATGTTCTCCAACATAGAGAGGCATATTAAAGCACCAGAATTTGTTTAAGTAGTATTCAGATTAAGGGCCAAACCTCAGGGTCAGTGTTGAAATCTTTCACAGCACGGTCTCTTGAAACCAGAGACATTGTGCCATCAAGCCTCCTATATTGGATGCAAGACAGGTTCAGTGACGTTTCTACTAAATCCAACATGCCAGTCCACTGGGAAAAAACAATCGTTTTCACAGGTCCTTCAGTTGGATTTGGAAATGGAGATGTGTGCTTCGTAGTGTCAACATCTGAATCACAGATCTCAATGCATTCATCTTCTGGATGTATAGAACCTCCGTTGCATCCAAAGGAACCTCCATTTACGGGAGTTGAAGTTGATGCTTTACTGTTGGTCTGCAGAATCTCAAGAACAGCCCTAATTTTGGACGAACTGTACTCACTATGAACTAGGGATTTCTCAGAAAACCCTGAACTTGTGGAACCACCATCAAGATCATCAGAGATACTTTTTCGAAGGGTAGTCTTCGAAAAAACAACATCAGCAGCAACTTGTTCCTTACATCCAAGTGCGGGGCACATATTGTCATCACCAGTCAAGTATTCAGACACACATTGATAGCAGAAAACATGGCCACACATGGTAACAACGGGATTCTCAGGTGGATCCTATTAAAAACGTTAAACAGTTAACATGATAAGATAAGTCATTCTTTTTATAGCAAGAAGATTACAGAAGCCTTATATCTCATTCCAGATTGTTCATTCAGGTTATTTAAATATATGCCACTTAGGATTGCAATTGAAATATGTGCATGCACATTATATATGTTTGCACAAAAATCACAAGATGGCCAATAGTGCCATCTTTTAATATTTAATAAACAATAATTTCAATTTTTTAACAATAAAAAATAATGGCAGCATAGGCCAGATGCGTTCATCACAAGTAAATCCCATGCTAAAAACATTTGCAGGGAGTGTAGGCGTGAGCATCTCCTTTCACAAGCAAGAGAGAGAGAGAGAAATGGAGAGGAAGAAGGTATTCCTGAAACCAAGTTAAAAGAAGCCCAAAACATCTGGTATTTTATATATCCTACACTAATAGCCTTGGTCACAATAATTCCAAAATCCAAAGATTTTTTCATTCCCTCTTCGTAACAAAATGTAGATTTCCTCTCAATATCGATTCATAGTGGAGGTTGAGCACAAAAGATGGTTGAAGAACAAGGAGAAAGTAGACATTTCAAGTCTTCACATCCCAAGCATGGTTAGAATTCTCCTTTCACCATAATTCAAGAGTCAATAGGAAGAATGAAACTCACATCGCATACACGGCATATGGCCAAAGAAGTCTCCAAACGATTTAACAGATTCATCAGCATCTCCTTCGGAAGTTTACTAGCCATTTCTGTAGAATCCTTCCCCACAGAATCAGTATTACATCCTTTTACAAGAAGTGGGTGGTCACAAGCCTGACGGAGGCGTAGAAGCATCAGCAGAATATTTGCATAGTTTTGCTTTACAGTGCCTGCTGCAGCATATGCCTGCAAAGTACAAATCACATAACTCATGTTTGATTCCACACTAAGAAGGGAACTTCCATTCAACAAAAGGTGTAAAAACCAACTGAGTGGACATACAAGAAGACCAGCCCCTATGCGGACAAACTCGTTTATATATATTTTTTTTTTAACAAGATACAAACTTTTCATCGTATCTTTTCATTGATGAATGAAAAGGAACAAAAATTGTTCAAAGCCAAACAAACTCGTTTAAATATATAAACAACAATCAATCACAAGAAAACAACGAAGTTAAAATCCTACAGAAAAGCATTCATACATCCTTAGGGTCTGGTATGTTTGAAATCCAAAAGAAAGGAATTGAATAAATTATATTTTAAACTGCCGGACTGTTTTTTTTTTGTATGCCCTTTTTGTGTATCTTCTTTTTTCATCTCTCAATGAAAGTGCAGTTTCTCATCAAAAAAAAAAAAATTATATTTCAAACTCCATGCCACTTTTGTACAGGTATCTTCAAGCACTCTTTTGTTCCTCTGTAACTATTCGTTTCATTTGTTTATTTAGTTTCTAAGTTCAGATTGGTTTAAGCCTTAATTACCTTGGCTTAATTGGTTTAAACCTTGTAATTTAATCCTTCTTTACCTAAGGCCTAACCTATAAGGCATAAAGCTTCCCCCATTGTAAGTAGTTTGCGGCTGGGAACCCTAGTCTGTTCCTTTTCTCTTCTGGAATATATCTATTTCTATTTCTTCTAAAAAAATAAAATAAAATAACTAGGTTTCTCTGACCTCAACATCCCTTAAAACAATTGTGGTCAGGTGTTCTTGTTGAAAAACCGCTTGGAGAAGAGGAGTTTTTTTATTATTAAAAAAAACACTAAACTTTGAACAAATAAATCTCCAAGCGTAAACATAAAATAGAACTAAATGCACCTTGAATTGCTTGCGAGAATCAGCTTCTAACTGAGTATAAAAATCACGCTCCTCAGTTGAAAAGTCCACTTTTGTCAACCGTATGGTTTTGGGGGGCAATTTGACGATTGGTTCCCCATCGATTAATGTGCCTAATCAAATAAGATCGTCATCAGAACTGTAGAGAAAAGTGACTGAAATTCATATTTGGATATAAAATGTCATCCTAAACTAAATATGGTGTAGTGTAGCATATACTGTCAAATGCAAGTTTAATACTCATCGCAGTTGTACTTGAGATGAACAGGTATAAAAAGCAGATAAAGTATCATGGCCAGCAGCATGAGGTACCCACTAGGCTAGTTACTGATCAGAACTACTTTTCCCAACAGCTAATTAACTACTTGCTAGCCATCTCAACAGACAGTTATAACAGAATATGGCTAACACAATACAACAGTTCAACAGAGCTGTATACTTATCCCTCATAGAGCATTGGACAGATATGTATTTCATAGTATTGGGCAGATTTTTTTTCCTTATTTTGCCCTAGCTTGTTTCCTGTCTATGAAGCAGCAGCATAAATACCAATATCTAGTGAGAAATTTATCTTCTCTGTCATATTCTTATACAAAATAACAGTGGAGTTTTTATGAAAGGAAAATAAACAGAGAGGTAGAGAGCATGCATCCACCTTTTGTCCGTCGCAACATTATAGCCCTTAGAACAGCCTGAAGCTTCTTATACCCATGAACTGAATTTCTGGAAATTGGAACTTTGATTGTGTTGTAGAAAGACTTATAGACAGCATACGGATCGTACCTCAGAAATCTGAAATAACTATATAAATCATCAATTGCATTTTGTATAGGTGTTCCAGATAAGCACCACCTTCTTTTGGCTCGAAGGCTACAGCAGGCTCTAGCTACTTGAGTTCTGTGATTCTTTATTGTCTGAGCTTCATCCAGAATAACCCTGAACCAACCCACTCTTGCCAGTGGGCCAGAATCACACTCAATGGAAATACCAGTTCCTTTCCTGCCCTTCCTACTCTTCTTACTACCCATAGAAGTCTTTTTTCTCTTTCTGTTGATTGAAAAATCAGAAGATAATCCATACCTCTCCCCATTCTTTTCCTCAGCATCATCTTCATCGACTAGAGGTTGTTTTGGAACTTCATTGGTGACAATTGAATAAGTTGTGAGAACCACATCATACTTTGCAAGCTCATCCGGATCCCTTGTCCTACTTCCCCCATGATAAATTAAAACTAAGAGTTTAGCTTCTTCAGTGACCTTCTCGTCTAGTTCTCTGGCCCACTGCCGAAGAATGCTTGCAGGGCACACAACCAGTGTACCGGCTGCTGGCCTCCGCTTACTGATTTGTCTAGTTGCTTTCACTTCTAGAATTGGCTTAACATCATCGGACACTCCAGTTTGCTGCATTTTATCTGAATCAGCAGTGCCATTATCATCATCATCATCCAAATTCAAAGCTTCAGCTTTTTTTTCACTTCCATCTTCTAATTTTGCCTTTGATTGCAAAGACCTCTGCATTTGTATAAGTGAAATCATAGAAACTGTCTTTCCAAGGCCCTGCAAGAGGAAAGGGAAAAAGTCTAGAACCTCATTAAGGACAAATTTCCACATACAGACAGGAAATTAATCCAGGCCCAGTAGCTCACACCTGGTCATCTGCTAAAATTCCTCCCAAACAATGCAAACTTCTAGTTTCCTTCTGTAGCATCCATGCTAATGCAATTTTCTAAAAGACGAAGTCGAACGAAAAGTTTGAGAAAATGTCAATGAAAGTAAAAGAAAGACACTACATTCTGATAGAAAAACCTGATGTCTTAAAAGAGGAACAGACAAGAGACCATCGGGTAAATTAGCTTCAAGTTTTGGTTGATTTAAATCCTGCAGGAAAAGAGTTATTAGGACTTTAAGAAAATTGACAAGAATAGAAGCATTTATAAGATGAATAAAACTTTTACACTCATTGAAAGCAACCAGTTTCTTCATTCTACCCGTCAATCTTTTAGGTCAGAATTGTTTCCTCTTATCTTTTGTACTATCATCAGTTTAACCCTTTTTCGATATGAAATAATCTCATTGATCAAGGAAATAAACAAAGCAAAAGACCTACAAAAGTAAAGTAATTACAAAATATTTCTCCAAAATGGTGGAAATCAAAGAAATAGCACGGTTGAAAAAATATTTATCTAACAAAACCGAATAAGAGAAAACAAAAATAGTACAGGGTTTGTTCTCTCAAGCGTTCCCCTAGCTCCAGGCAACCCATTACTAAGCTGGAAAAAATTATCAGGAATTTCTTTTGGAAAACTGGAAAAGAGGAAGGAGGTCCTAATCCAATTAGATGGGAGGTGACTGTGTTCCCCTACGACTTTGGGAGTTTTGTTGGAAAAGGAGACACCCTGATAGCAAGCAAATACTAGTTGATTTCTAATGAATGGTGGCCGGCTGAAAAAGGGAGAGAGCCCACTTCACATATTAATGTCAAACCATATCAATTTCCAGGTTCAAGTCTTTCAGCTACCTTCTCAAGCACTAGGTTACAAAAAGAAATG